AGTTCGGATGTTCAGGCTCAACACAGCAGGGTGGACAAAAACCACAGTAATCACCATTGCAGAAGAGGCCCTGTCCTCTCCTCTCCACACGTGCTGTTTAGGGGCAGTCTCTGGGAAGTAAAACAGTCCCGTGGCAGACAGCCTGCTAGCTCCCACATACTGTGATTTTTTTTTTAAGGAGACTTTTAAAAGAAAAAAGCAAGACTGAGCTGGAGAGAAGCACGTTTCTCCTCTTCCACTGTCTCTACATGGCAAATCGGGGTTGGCTGGGTTCCCGGCTGTATGATGGGGATGGGACCGCCTGCCTTTTCCCTAGTCTCAGTCTGGTGGGGTGGGGGGGGGTGTCACACGCTTGGCAGGGCAGGGACAGTCTCTCTTGCCTTGGGTGCTGTGGCATGGAGCAGCCTGGGGTCTGGGGAGCAGAGGGCACGAGCGGCTTGGGCTGTCCCCGCCACATCAGTCGCCTTCCTCTCCCTCATCACCGCAGCACCCGCTCTGGGCCCTTCCTAGCAGCCCAATGTTCAGAGGGGTGAGAGGAGGGTCCATGGATGGTCTCTCAAATGCACCCCACAGGCTGGGACCTTGGTGAGCTCCCAACATCTAACCCAAAGCTACATCTTTCCCCTCTCCCTCCTGCACCTAGGTAAGATGAGGGTATCTCCCTCCAAGCCCCGGCAAACCTGTGCTAGCAGTGGCATCCCGCTGTCCTTGGCAGGCCAGTTTACAAAAGCCTTTTCAGCTGCTGTCTTCCTCCCTGCAGTGCCCTGCCATGCGCCATCCCCTCAGCAGGGGCTGGTCTCCACCACTGACGTCAGAGCCCGCGCCCGGCTCCACGTTCATCTGCTGGCCTGGCGCTCCTCCACCTGCCAGCACCGGGCAGGAGGGAAGCGATGAGCGCAGCCAGCCTGCGTGATGCAGTGGGTAGCTGGGGCCTGTCCAGGAGTGTTTGGGGCACTGCCCAAAGTCCAAGGGATCTGGGTCCCAGCCTGGCCTTGGAGGGGCAGGGTTGGGGTGACAACAGGAGCGGATCGACCCTTTCACACCCCTCCTTCTAGAGGTGCTAAGATCTGTGCAAGCAATTCCAGCTCAGACCCAACCTGCATCCTCCTCCCCGCGAGCAGATGGGGCTGGCGCTTTCCTGCTCCCAGCGCGCCATCCTCAGCATCTCAATCAGCAGTGGCATCACTGCCAGGTTCCCCTCCCCGCCCTTTCCTTGCAAGCCCTGGGGGCTGCTTGGGCATCTACCTGCGGCGCGGCTTCCTACAGAGCTACCGGTCGAACTGACCCTAAATGCCGAGGGGGCCGGGTAGCAGGAAAGCTGGGCAACGATCCCGCGGAGGAACATCTGGGCTCCGTGCTGAACAGCTTGCTCTGCTGAATGGCTCTTTGGCAAGGGCCCCGCTGTGCTCGCTGCAACTTCCAGGCGCTGCGTCGTGGATGCCCTCCGTCCTCCTGCCTCTCTCCTCTGCCGCTGAGCCGGCCTCGCAGGACAATGGCTCTTGGAGAGCCTCCAGGACAAGCCGCCTGGCTTGGCCAGCGTGAGGCCCCGGCTGGCAGGCGGAGGCTGCGGCACGGTTATCAGCGCCCCACAGATATTAAGACCTGCTCCATGGGACTTTTTTTTTTTTTGGAGCACCTTAATGATGTGACAGGCTCTGCCTCTTCGCAGGGGGGCAAGCTGGGGGGTGGCTCCTCTCGGTCAGACGTGACTGTGGGGCCGCAGCAGGAGCTGGGCAGTGATGGGCAGTGGCTCAGTCATAGCAGGAGCTCGGGGAAGGTGAGAGCCACCATACAGCGAAGGTGCTGTCCCCATGAGGATGAGCTGGGGGTCACCCCGTGCCCGGCAGGCTTGGCGGCCAAAAAGATCCAGGAGGTGTATCCTCGAGCAGCTGGACCGGGCAGTGCCAGCTTCCCCTCGCAAGGGCCCAGGCCACAGATCTCACCCAGCTTTGGCATCAGGGAGCTGGCTGCTGGTGCCAGTGCAGCCAGCCCATCGGAGAGGTGCTGTGGGAGCCAGGGGTTGGGCCTCTGCTTGCTTGGGATCACAGGCGTGAGGCGGCGTGCCGGAGGCTAGCCCCCAGTGCAGGCTGCGGGTGGGTGAAGAACGGCCAGTAAATGCACGGGTCGGCCCGGCTGCCACCCAGCAAGCAGGGGGCCGCACGCTGCGTCCCTGCCCAGCTCCCACAGGAGACCGTGCCCATGCAGAGCCCGGGGGATGGCAGCCCCAGTGCAGCGGGGCCAGGTGCTGAGCACCATGCGGGCTCTGCACCGCTGCCTTCCCACGTGGAGTCAGCACGTGGCAGGGCCCATGCCAGGCCAGTCTGCTGCCCCAGGAGAAGCCGTCTGAGGGGGGTCACGCATGCAGAAGGGTGTCCCCCCTCGGGGCAGCGTGCGCACGTGCAGGGAGCAGGATGGTCGCCCCGTGCTGAAACCTGCCCGTCTTCTGCAGGGAGCTGCCACGCGGCCTCTCCTGAGCTGTCTCACGTGGAAGCGGTCACGCAGCTCGAGAGGGCGAGGCTAGCCGGACGCTGTCCTGGCACGCAGTGCACCCCCTGCCGCAGGGGGGACCGGAGCGGGACGTTACCAGGGTGGTGGGGGGCGCTCACCTGGGCAGCCCCCGACTCATGGACAAGACGATACCGAGTGGCGGG